TATATATATATATATATACTATATCCTATAATTTTATGAGAAATACCACAGCATATAATTTTTTAAGGCTCCTTTTTAAAAATAATTTATGAAAAATTAATCTGATAATTCTACAATTAAACTTTATTTATCATACACATTATAGAAGAGATATTAAACGTGTATATCAAAAATTATGTATCGATACATATAACAATTGTCTCATGCACTCGAACAAAATATCTTTCAAAACATCGTTTCACACAATTCAATATCGAGATTGGCATAGGATTGGAATTTTTTTTTTTAAGAGAAAGAATATGATTGTTTTGATACAAACCTGAGCAAGTTCGTAGTAACCAGCTGAGCAAGCTAAGGAGAGTAAGCTTTCTCCTTCCTCAGTAGTTTCATGAACGCTTCGGCCCTCTGTTAACAATTTCCGAACGGTACCAACGTCTCCGTCGGTGCACGCCTCGACGAGAGAACGCTTTTCGTTCGGCGTACGTGGATTGTCACTACGCATACGTGTTAATGCGGCCGCAGCCTCGTCCAATGCACAAGAAACACTAGATGTTAAACGACGAAGCACCTCGTGGTCGGCTAAGTGCTTCCCATCACCCGATGACAATTTTCCGATACCAGCCGCCTCAAGGAGTGCCTCGAGACGCGCTTGAGTTTCAGGATCCACGGAACGCTCAGGATCCTCGGGAGTCAATAAAAATTTCGAGGATTCAGGATGATCTTCGTCCAATTCAACTTGATCAATCGCAAAACACTCCACCTAAAATCGAAATATCAGTAAAATACATATTAAACAATACATAGCAATGCAAGAAATAAAAGTTTGTTTTATATATATATATATATATATATATATATATAAAATAAGATATCGAGGTGTCTACTTGACTCTTGTAAAAAAAAAATTCTTCCTGGTCTTCCAGGTATTTTTATCCCCAAAATTCCCAGTAAAGAGAATATTTTGTTTAACGCAACTTTCTAAAATATTTTTATTGTATGCGTTTCTCGCTCATACCAAGGAAAAACACAGAGCCGCTCAAGTCTCAGGTGCTAGATTTGCAAATGTACTGAAAAAAAAAAAAACCAACCGTTTTCGTGAGATAAACATTTTTCACTTGCATAAAATTTTCATTTTTTTTCTCGCTATATTTTAAACACATTCGCAATAAAATTCCACGAGAATTCCTTAATTTTTAGAGGCACAAAAGAAATCCGTGAAAATTTCAGGTTTTCTATGTTTTTCCAAGGAGTGGACAAGTAAACACCCTCGTGTGATAGCACGAATATATAACCTTACGCATCACGCGTATAATGTGTATATGTGTTGGATCTATATACGTGTGTATGTGTAGCATATTTAAATATATTTGTATACGGCTTCCTGCGTGGCTACGCACGCGTTTCATATACGCCGGACGGACGTGTGCGATACGTTTGCACACGCGCGTGCTTATGCGGGGCATACTAGCTTTAACAGCGAGTATGTACTTTAAACCAGTGCTTCTATGCAACACAAATACATAGACACTCGCGCGTATTTATTATACACACATTTATTCTCTCCTTCCCTTCTCTTTCTCCATCATACTCATTCTCTCACTCACTCACTGTCTCATTTACTCGCTCTCTCCTTCCCCTCCCTTTCCGCTCCCCGCCCCCTTCCCACTCTCTCACTCTTTCTCTTTCTCTCGTGGAACATGCAGAGATGCCAAGAAGAATGGGAATGGCATTCGAATGCTGCATCTTGGCGGTCGCGTCCCGATGCTCTCTCGTAGACATCAGGATCAAGTTGTTGCGAGATACGTACGCTTATACTTTAGCAAAAAAAAAGGGGAAAAAAGAAGAACAAATTGCGAGAGAGGAGATAAAGAGAGGAAGAGAGAGGAAGGAAGAAAGAGAGAGAGAGAGAGAACAATGAAAATTGTGGCTCGCAACAAATCGAAGCGAAAGAGATGACCGAAATGAGAGATCGACGTCGACAACTCGGTTTCCACGGCGGACAATATTATTAACACATACATATATTCCGGTTATATAACTCTTCTTTCCCAGCGAGCGAATTTTCCGCTGACGTTCCTCCTTTCTTTTCTTCGTTCCTAACGTTACGCGAGAGTAGCCATCTACGCACCTAGCCGCCAGCAAAGCGAAGACATTTGGTAGCTGACTCAACATCGAAACAACGGATAAGAGTAAAGACTCTCTTGTAGAATTGAAGAGGGAAGATGCGTCCCAATATCTTGGCGCGATAGTGAATCCTTAAAGCTAAGGTCGATTGGCGATAATTGTCAGTTTTTCTCTTCCTGTTTACAAATCTAATTTCATAAAACTCTCCTGTATTTTTAGATATATAAATCACGATTTTTAAAGTATATTTACAGGTCTATTTGTCTCTCGGCTATTCTTTCCTACATGTTGCATTTGAATAGATAAGACCTTTACAAGAAAATTATTAGATAATACTATAAATAAATTGCTTAAACAATGTTATAGAATCCGTCTTAGGTCCAGCTCTGTATCAAATCAAAATTTGAGCTAAATTATCCTGAATTAGCAATTTCATGTCTTTTTCTATGATTTTAAGAAAATGTATGATTTTTTTCTCTATTTATCTACAATAGAATCTTAAAAAGGTTGATTTAAATATGTGCTATCATAATCTCAAAAAAAGCTTGAAAACCATTAAAGAGAAAAAAAGATTTCAGACTAAAAAAATATCGTGTTTAAAAAGACAGATGTTAGTACTAAAAAGAAAAAAGAAAACGTATTATTTTTTTTTATTCGTCTCATTAATGCCTTAAATTTGCTCGTTTTATGTGTTAAGGCATTTATAACGTTGAATGTTTTTTTTTTTTTGTTTTTATAGATTATAATTTAAATACAAATAAACAAGAAAAAAGAAATTAAATAGGATTAATTAATCCTAATTAATTGTTAGTACGATACTAGCCGCAATTAATATGATAATCTAGAAATAATATCAAACTAAGATGACTGACGATTTTTGTATGTTATAATTATAACTACGTTGTCGAATGGAAAAGAAAGAGCAAGCTAATTGAGGTTAACGTTTCAACCAAGAGACTGGCCTGAAATATGGCGAGATTGGCTTTGGTTCCTGTCGGAATAAATAATTTTAGATCAGCGATTTTCAACGCCTTCTTTTAGGTTATGATCACGAGATGCATAGGATAAATGTAGCCACAATGTAGGATCAGACTTTTAGCCAAGGTTGCAAATCTTAATTAGTCTATAGATTAGCTAACTTAATAGTTTTGTCGCATTTTCGAACTATATGATATGAACTTAAGCTTTCAAACAATTAAATTTGATTTTCAGTTGTTATGTTTTGTTTAAGCTTACTGTGAATTAGGACTTGCCTTATAAACAAGTGAAAAATGCTTCACAATGTTTTATGCACGTAAAGTCCTTTCCCTTGTATACACGCTATATGTAAAATATATATTATTCAAGGTGTCCACTCAAATCTTGTAAAAAAAATCCCTGATCTGTAAAATATTCTTATTAAAAAGTCCTTTCCCTTGTATACATATTATATATTATATTCAGGGTGTCTACTCAAATCTTAAAAATACAGAGCCACTCAATTTTCAAATGCTAGATTTGCAAACGTATTATATGAAAAAACTGAATAGTTTTCGTAAGATAAACATCTTTCACTTGCATAACATTTTCATTTTTTTATCACTGCAAATTACAATAAAAAAAATATGTACTGCGTATTAAATATTTTGTTAAGATAT